TCTCTGTGAGCAGGGACAGGACCCAGGGAATGGCTGGAGCTGTGCCAGGGTTGGATCTCAGGACAAGGTTCTTCCCCCAGAGGCTGGTTGGGCACTGCCCAGGCTCCCCAGGGCAGTGGGCACAGCCCCAAGGCTGCCAGAGCTCCAGGAGGGTTTGGATGATGCTCTCAGGGACAGGGTGGGATTGTTGGGGTGTCTTGTTCAGGGCCAGGAGTGGGATTGATGATCCTCACGCGTCCCCCCCGACACAGCACATCCTGAGCTTCTGGTGGTTCCCCCATCATGCGAACCACCACCTTCCAGCCAACCCTCACCTCCCAACCAACCACCACCTCCCAACCAACCATCACCTCCCAACCAACCATCACCTCCCAATCAACCATCACCTCCCAACCAACCACCACCTCCCAACCAACCACCACCTCCCAGCCAACCATCACCTCCCAACCAGCCATCATCTCCCAATCAACCATCACCTCCCAACCAAGCACCACCTTCCAACCAACCACTACCTTCCAACCAACCATCACCTCCCAACCAACCACCACCTCCCAACCAACCACCACCTCCCAACCAACCACCACCTCCCAACCAACCATCACCTCCCAACCAACCACCGCCTCCCAGCCCAAGTGCGGCCAACGCCACCCGCTCTCCCACGGTCTAACAACCCCCTTTCCGTGTCTCCCGCAGTGCCTTTCCGAGAGACGCCGAGCTACACGAAGCGGCGGCGGATCCTGGGCGGCGGCGGCCTGGCGTCCCCGCGCCTGCTGCAGCGCTCGGCCAGCGACAACAACCTGAAGGCCGAGAGCCGCGCGTCCTACTCGCCGGTGCCGTCGCTGCGCAGCCTCCCGCCCCAGCTGCTGGTGCAGATGCAGGAGGCGGCGGCCGGGGTGGTGGTGGCGGCGGGGGACGGCGGCCTGGCCGGCTCGGGCAGCGCCCGCAGCGCCCACAGCCGCTCGCCCTCCCTGCAGCGCGTGCAGGAGGAGAAGGAGGCCGACCTGCCCACGCTCCGCAGGAGCAGCCGCGGCAAGGCCAGGTACGGGTGGGCGTGGGGGGAGTGGGGAGAGGGTGTGACGTGGCGTGGGTGGGTCGTGCCCCCGTGCCCGGATGGGATCGGGCGCCACGGGATTGTGGGTGGGAAGTGGGAAGGCTGGTGGAGCTTGGTGAAGCTCCTGCAAGGAGTTGGATGGTCAAGAGGAACAGAGCGAGGATGTCCCATAGCTGGCATGTGCCCTCACACCTGTATGGGATCAGGCACCTGTATGGGATACTGGGTGGGAAGTGGGAAGCACGCTGGGGCTCAGTGAAGCTCCTGCAAGGAG